AGAGAGAGAGAGAGAGAGAGAGAGAGAGAGAGGGAGGTATCATTCAGAATTCTATAAGGGGCCAATCAGAAGGCTTGTGACAAACACAGGGGCATAGAGCAATCAGGAACAGAACACCCCACAAATGTGATGGGCTTAGGTGTTACACACACACACACACACACACACACACAGTCAGAAGATGGCAGTCAGGTTGGAATGAGCATGACTGTAATGATGTCCCTCTACCTTACTACTCTGCCATCCTCAGTGAGTGGCTTTGTCCTCATACGTAGCTTTAGGGTCACAAGATGGCGGCTGCACCTCCAGCTCTCATTCCAGGCAGGGAAGGAGGCAGCAGACTTTGTCTTAAGAAGGCTTTGACTCTTTATTTAGAAAGTGATTTCCTCCCTCATCTCATTGGCTAGGACTGTGTCATAAGCCACCGAGAGCTGCAAGAAAGGCTGAGTGACGTTAGTGGAATTCAATGGTACCTTGAACAAAATCAGAGTTCAGTTAGGGAGGAGGAACAGATGAATATTAGGTGGGCACCTAGTAGCATCTAGGGCATGCCCCAGGTTTGACAAGCTCAGCTTAGAGGCACATAAAGTTTGAGGTGCTGTGGGCATCTGGGGAAGTTGGGTTTGATACACCCACCTGAAGCTTGGGTGAGGACACCAACCTCACCCATAGATTTGAGGTCGCCAGCTTATAATGAAGGATGACCTTCAGTACTTCACCAGCCCGTTCCGTGACTCTGCTCTATAGAAACTATGTGTCTTCTAGACCTACCAAAATAAGAATGGGATGTTGTAGCACACATCCATTTTATTAGCTCTGGGGTGGTTTGTGTGTGTAAACCTTGGCCCACCATGAGCTGATCACCTCCTTGGGGAAGGGCTGCCTCTTTCCTGGTCACCCCTGGCAGTTCACACAGGGCAGGGCGCTTCTGGGATGTGAACTAAGCACTTGAGGTTGACAGGTTAGGGGGCATGGCCCCTGCTCATGCTGGGATTCTAAGCCTTTCTGTTAGCAAGCCACATCTTCTTTGTCCCTGGGTGTTGACCTTGGCTGCCTGGGAGAGGGGAAATCTCTTCTCCCTTTCTCCCACCAGCATTTGGGATCCTCACCTGTAATCAGGGGCTGGCAGGAAGGTAGCTTCCATGCTCATTTTTAATTATCCTTCTACATTATTACTGAGAAAGACCGTCCTTGGTGATTTGCTCTTCCATATAAGGAGAGCCAAGCCTGGAATGTCCTTGTCAGCTGCCTGCCCATGTCCTCAGGCATGCCTCTCCCAGAAAGCCCTGGGGACCCAAGAGCAGGCCTACCAAGGCTGTCTGGCCCGTCCTTTGCACTGTTTCTGAAGGAGGGAGCTCTTCTCTGAAGAAGGCAATTCGCAGCTCCTCAGCAGTCAGTGCTTCAAAAACTTCTTGATGTTGGCAGTCAGGCCACCCTCTGGGCCCTCCTTCCCCCTTCACTACAAGCTTTCCTTAGGATGCTTCATCTCTTCCCTGGCCTGTCTCCACTTCAATGACCCTCAGCCTTGACCTGTCTGCTGTGCACCAGGCACCCCAGGAGCTGGAGCTCCTAGTCCTCTCCAACCCCGCCGACCTCTTGGCCAGACTTGCCTCCTCTGCCTGAGATGGGCCTTCCCCTCTTGGGGACCCCCATTCACTCTAATGGCTCAGCAGACACCTCCTCCCATGTGAAGCTAGGGTAGTGGCTCCTTTTTGTCTCCAGAACCTTGAACACAGCACCACACCTTGCTGTGGTCTTAACTGTTGTCTGCTTTCCCCCAAACTGTGAGTGCATCAGCAGTAGTAAACACATTTTAATCTCTGCAATCTCCATGCCTACGTGGGAAATGGTGGGTGAGTGGATGTTCAGGAGACTGAATTTATAGACGAGGGGGCGTCTCCTGCCCTGCTACAGGTCTCCAAATGGCTATCTATGCTATAACGAGTGTGCGACAGGTTCTGGCACATGCAGGTGGTAAGGAGCAGGGTCAGATGGTAATTTCTCCTGGATTATGGATTACATCCCCTGGTCGCACACAGATCTTCTTGAGGTTAGCCCTAGATGGACTGGATGTAAAGTCACACAAACCTTGTAGTCTCTACCTGGTCATGTTCCCTGGTCTCATGGCTCTTTCTGGAAACAACTGTGCAGCGGATTCACAGGTTGGAGCTCTTATAATTCATCCCCCCTTCTCCTTGGAAGCCATACCCCAATTTTTGGTCAGGTGTCTACCCTCCCCCACCCAGCCCAGCCCCACCTCCAGCTCTAGGCCTCGGGTTGAGCCAGTTCAGAGGTCCCACCCCTGGCCACAGCAACTGCTTCAGCACTGGGACCCTTATCCAGTTCAGGCCAGTGAGACCAAGATTTGCTGGGGGTCTTTAGGAAGGAAGTTCCCTGCCCCTCTGTGGAAGTCTCTTCTGCACTGTGCAGACATCAAACCTGGGACCACTGGGGACTCTGTTCAAAGACAAAGCCGACACCCAAGGGACAGTAGAGGTAAGAGCATGGTGCAGGGCCTGAGTTGCAGTCTGAGTGGCCACCCACCCAGACACCAAGGATGCCCAGCCAAGGCTTGCACATGAAGCCAATATTTGGTCATGAGTCTGCACAGAACCTGATATTTGGAGGTAGGTAGGGCCAGCATGCAAACACCTAAATTCCCAGAGGCAGAGCCGAGGTTCCCCAGGTCTGTGGGACCAAGAGAAGCAATGGTGCTGTTACCAAATCCAATGAAGGATGAGGAGCAAGAGGCCAGCCACAGGCTGGACAGCATCCAAAGTGCTGTGGAGGGTCTTGGGAGCTGGCAGCAGGAGACGAGAGTTCCCTGACAGGGGATGTGGACTCCTGAAACATGCTGGCCACTGTGCAGAGAGGGAGGGGCCATAAGTACTGACCAGGCATGTGATGCCAGACTCCATGCATTCTCTTGGATGGACACAACCTGGTCGCGTCTCAACTCCCAGGCCCTCAGCACAGCTCAGGCTTTGGGCTGGCTGCTTACCCACTTTGGGTAGGGCCACTGTGCCCTGCCACCCTGCCTCTGGGTGCTGTCCCAGCAGGGCCAGTTCCCACTTCCAGCAGGGAGCTCCCTCCAGGCCCCAGCCTGTGACACTTGATGTTGGAAAGAAAGGGAGGCAGGGGGCAGAAAGGGAGCAGCTGGGCAGCTGAGCCAGCTCTTCCTGGCGCACTCGCAGGCTTTCCCCACGTCTGGGCCAACTGCTCAGGTTCAGACCCATCCCACCACTTACCTGCAAGCCACCAAATCTCCGCGGGCTTGAGTTTCCTCAGTGACATGGAGTACTGGCACCTGACTCCCGAGTTCTCACATGTATTAAGTCCTATCACTTAGAGTGGCACCAAACAGACTTCTTTGCACAGAGGTGGCTCTTCAAGCCCCTTGGTCTTACCTTGCTATCACACAGTTCCCATCATCTGCAACCCAACAAACCACCAGTGAAAATGTCAGGGGATGAGCTGAAGCCCTCTTGACTCTGGGCCCAGCTGAACTCAAAAGTAAATGGTGGTCCTGCAGCTGGCGGGGAGACTGTCAAGCATCGAGCATCCCGCCCAGCAGCACCTGCCGGGGCAGAGGTCCTGCGGGGGTGGACTATCTCGGTAGAAAAGCCACAGATAATCAGTTACAATGCACAGCAGACAAGAATGGTGGAAGAAAAATAAATGAACACACGTTTTCTGAGTGCTTTTGTGAGGTTTTGTTTCATTTTGTTTCGAACACTAAAATTTATTTTCAAACAGCACACACAGACGGTCTGCGGGGCAGGGCCAAGTCAGATGGTTGTCTGGGTCCAAGGTGTCTGGATAGATTGGACCCCACCCACAGCAGCTGCCCGGAAAGGAGGACCCTTGCCAAGATGGCATGGCTGAAGCTTCAGGCAAGCGTGGTGGCTCTGCAGCCCCCAGGCCCCACCCTGCAGCCAGGCACACAAGCGGCAGCAGATACCCAGAGGGTGTGGGCAGGGGTGGGGGCAGCTAGGAACTCAACTAGGGGACACAGCAGCTTCAGGAACATAGGTGATTCCGCCAGACTTGCCCAAACCAGGCTCTTTGGAAAACAACCGAATCTTTAGGAGAACACCTCTTGGCTTAGTTCTCTCCTCTTGATTTCCCTTTGCTTTCCAAAAGTTTCAAAACAAAAACAGAAAACACACACACACACATACACACACACACACACACACACACACACACACGCACACATTTTTCAGGAAAAGGTGTTCTTCACATGCCCGGAAAGCTGCACCAGCGTCTGCTCTCACTCAACCCGCTCGGTGAAGTTCTCGGGGAAAACGCCCCGGCATTTCTCCAACTCCTTGTGCTGGTTCCAGTCACTCTCCTTCACGCCCATGAGCCAGCCTTCATCCTAGAGGGAGGGGGGGAGCATCCAGGTGGAACAGAGATGGGGAAGGAGGGCGCTTGGGCCCTACAGGGTATGCATCTCTCTGGGGATCTGCTGAGAGGATATGCCTTCCTCTGCCTATTCATTTCCTCTGGTCTGTCACATCCACCCCCCAAAGAACACCTCCTCCAGGTAGTATTCCCTGCTAATCTCCCCAGACCCAAATCCAACTTCCCTAGGAGCTATCTGCCCTTCAGCAGGTGGTGGATTTAACTCTTTGTCATTTGGCAAGTCCTCTTCATCCTAGAAAAGCAGCCTGACTGCTGCACTGGTCTGTACATGTCTGAACAACTCCCTTAATCCCAGCCAAAGAACTTCCCACCATCCAATGCCCACAGAGGACACATCACTGAGGAGGATATCAGCTGTTCTTCCAGATTTATACAAACAATTCCAGGAAATTCTGTTGAGCGTTGACCAGTCAAAAGCTTCTAGAGTGACTTGAGGCTGCCCCACCAAACCCTCCAACTCAAACTGCATCTTCTTCCTAATCCTGACCCCTCCCAGGGATCATGACAACCTCCCCGGCTCCAGTCCCTGACCTTGAGCTTGCAGGAGCCATATACCTGGCCTGTAGCTGAGGCCATCGCTGCCCCTGCAGCTGAACTACGCCTGGGCCCCACCTAGGTTTTTGTTGTTTCATTCTGCATGCTTACCTGCCTTGTCACAGACGCTACGTATATCCTATCTGAGCCACTTCCATCCACCCTAGATGATACCCGCTGTGGGCTGGGGGCCAGGATTCTGCTTCTGAAAACCCCACCCAGCCCAGGGCTGGCCCCAAGGGAAATCAGTAGAGATCTGAAGGTCTAGAAGAATCAGCCGACTTGGCACCAGGCTCGGGATATCCTTGTTACTCAAATCTCAGTGTGGCCTCAGAACTATCTGGTGCCCTCACTCCCAGCCCAGGACCCCCACCCATATTGGCCTCACCCTAAACCCAGCCCTCCTCCCACCATCAGCCACCCTGACAAACCCCATGACGTGTTGATAAGTAAATGGGTCAGAGTCTGACCAGGACCCCTAAGCACCGTGGGTGTCACCTGGACACCAACATGGCTACCCCCACCCCACAAAGACTCACTTGATCCCCACAGTAAGATTCCTGCTGAGGGACCAGCTACCTGCACAGAGCAGACCATCCCAACCTAGAAGATGTGCTCTGCACCAGCCCCAGGCCCGAGGGGGCCACTCTGAGGAGAATTAACGAACAAGGAGAAGCCACAGCAGGAGGAGAAGGTTCTGGGAGCATTTGGGGTGAGAAACGGCCGGGGTGCTCAAGGGTCTTGCGGAAGACCACACACTGTCCCTGGCGGTCCTGTGTGGACAGGTGCAGGGAAAGCCTGGAAGGGGCACCTTGGTGGCAGTGATCAGAGCAGGTGGGTTCATGGAGGGGTGGTCAGGCCTCCTGTCCTGGGAGGAGGGAGACCTCGGGGCAGGGAAGGGAGAAATGGAGAAAGAAACAGATGCACAAATGAGAAAAGGGCAGACAGAGCTGAGGAAAGGAGGAAGCAGGAAAAAGGAAGAGGATGGAGTTCAAGGAAGAAAGAGAGTGAGGGACAAGCGGGAGACAGAGACAGGGAGACAGCAACAGAGCGGGAGATGTGACCAAATGGGAGATGGCCGAAGAAAAGGGAGAGGGAAGGGACGAAGGGAGGAAGGGAGGAGAGAAAAGGACAGGAAGGGGGAGCAGGGGAGAAGCCAGGCTGGCTCCCAGCGGGTGGGCTCCGCGCAGCCATGCGGCCCCAACCTGGGCCTCACCTGCTCTTCGGGGTTCTGGAAGGGAACCACCAGTACCACGTCCCCGGCCTTGAGCTGCAGCTCGTCTGTGTCGGTGGCTATGTAGTCATGCTGGGCCTGCACCTGCAGATTGTGGGGAGAGCTTGACACCCCTCCCCTCAAAGGCCCCTGGTCCCACCTGCAGCCCTGTAGAGTGCACCAGGCCTCAGGATGGCTTTGGCGTGATGTGGCAACACAATGACCAAGAGTGCATGGAAGCAGCGGGACAAGGCTCAGACACTACCTGGCTGGACGAGTAGCAGGGAATGAAGGGGCAGGTCCACTCTGGACCAACCACACAGCCCCCGAGGCTCAGTGCGCTCACCTGTAAAGGGGGTGATTCGACACCCAGGGCACCGTTGGACAGTGGCAGTTAGAGGTTGTGGGATCAGTAGCCTGGGCTCACCTTGAACATGAATCCTGGGGGCAGGTCCAAGCGCGCGGCCCCGCTGCCGCCATCCACAGTGCCGTTCACAGCTGCTGAGAAGGTCTCCACCACAACAGCAGGCAGAGAGCTCTGGGGAAGGAGCACAGATCAGCACAGGCGGGAGGTGGGCCCGGGAGGGCAGGCGACACGCAAGGGAAGGGGTGTGTGAGCCTGATGCCAGCCCAGCCCGCCTCCATCTCCTCAACAGGAACTACGACCTGGACAGAGTAAGGAGAACAAGTGACAGACACATGGCTGGGAGCCACAGGCAGACAGACGGACAGACAGCAGGGAGGGAAGACAGGGCTCTGGTCCCTGTGTCTTACGGAGGCTGCTTCACTTGCTGGCGTCTCCCCGGACTCCGGGGCTCCAGCCGCAGGTTGGGTCCCACCCGCCACCTCTGAGGCGTCAGCTGGCTGCAACATAAATGCCGTCAAGGGATCAGATACGGTGGGGGCAATGCCACCAGGACAAGCAAAAGGGAACAGAGGGCAGTACCGAGTGGCGTCTAGCGTTGGCCAATATCTCTGCATAGTACAGGGAGCCCTGGAGGACATGTGGGGTCCTGGGTATGAGGAGCAGCTGGAAAAGGTACTGGCAGGCGCAAGGATGCTGAGTGACATACAGCGAAAAGCCCAGCACAGGCCCCTCAGTGCTACCGCTGACCCTCTCACAGGCTCCACTTCTCAGCTTCCTTGAACCCACCCAGCCACCCTGCCCCTCACACGTTGCTCCTGCCAGAGGACCCGAGATGGGGCCCTGAGCAAGGCTCAGTGGATGCCACCTGGCTGCAGTCAGGCTGCCCTGGGCCCACACTGACAAGTCACTTCTGAGCTCTCAGAACAATCCCTCAGCCTTCCTAGCCCCCATTTCCTCTGTAAGAGGCGGACATGTCTAGTGTAGTGTAAAGATTAAATGAGAAAATTCTGGAAAGTTTCCACCCTAAACCCATGGGCGCTCTAAATGTTCCTCCCTCCCACTGTGGAAGGCCTAAGCTAAGAGACTAGGTTGGGGTTGGTGAGGGGGAGAGGGGCTGCTCTGGCCCCAGCCACCCCTAGCACAAGTGACAAGCCCCATCCTGTGGCTTCCTGGCTCATGGCCCCGGCCTCACCCTCAGGGCTACAGTGGCCTTGTCCATCCTGTGCCCCCTCCTCTGGGTTCTTCTTCCATGCTACACCCCATACACAGGGGACACTGGGGAGCTGGCGGGTGGGCACTTACTTGGGCAGGCCCCAGCTCGGCCGTCTGGCTGGGCCAGGCCACAGCAAAGGTGCCCTCGGCAGCACTGGGCTCCCTTGAAGGTGAGCTGCCTGCTGGACTCTCTGTGGGCTGCTGATGGCCACCGGGGAGGACAGGGAGGGAGGGCAGGAGGGCAGGGGAGAAGGTGTTGGGCAGGGCACGAGAGAGAAGACAGGCGTGAGCCGCCCGTGTTGGGAGAGGGGAGAGTGGTGCCTGCGGCGGGCAGCCTATCCAGAGCCCAGTGGAGCACACACACAGGCCGCTGAATGGAGACCTACTCCCACCTCCTTGCTCCTGTCACCATCAAGGGGACAGGCTGTGCCGCACACAGCTCAGCACCCACTGAAATCCACTCGTCAAAATGGCTCTGCCTGCTCGCGTCAGGCCTCCTCCAGGGTGAAACAATGTGGAGCTTTCCGGGCTCCCAGGAGCCTGCACTGCCAGGACTTTCACACATGCCCCGGTCCTTGAAGAACCGGCCCCTATTTCTGGGGCAGGCCCCAGGCCCTCCTTAACCTCCCCTGCCCAAGGCACTTGAATTAGACACCTTCTCAGCAGGCCCTGCTCACATTAAGGGCACCTGGCCTCAGCTTGCCTGTCCTTCCCTCCTCCTGTGTCCCCACAGCTTCCTGATGCCACTGCCCTGTGGGCCCCCTGCAAACAGAAAGCTCCTCAAGAACAAGGCCCCTCCACCCCTGCCTGTAGGCCTCAGCCTAGCATGAGGACACCATGTTCATCCTGGGTGACCAGATGGTCACCGTCTAGGGTCACTCACAGGCCCTGACAACTAGGGCACACCGAGGAAGACCCCCTTCTCAGGCTAAACCAAAGAGCCCTTTGCCACAGGGCCTGGCCAGGGGCATGGTGCCCCCACAGAACGGATGCAGCAAGACAGCTGGAGGCAGCTGTGGTCAGCCCCTAGGCATGTGAGCAAGGCCGTGTGCACATCTACGAATGGGCTGGGTGCAGGACCAGGGGAGTGGGCCCCGGGCCCCCAGGGACAGGAACAGAGCAAACACAGCTTACCTCCCAGAGGTCCCACGGGATTGGCTAAGCGCAGCAGAGGGAGAAGGACAGAGTTAGCACAGAAGTTAGAGACGGGGGCGGGCAAGCAGTCCCCAGTGAACCCCACCCCATGCCAGCCTCGGGCCCTTGTGCCCAGAAGGCACAGGGCAGCCCGGAGCCAGACTCTAAGGTCCCTGAGGGCTGAGTCCTAGACACCTCTCAGGGGGCTGCAACCCCAGGCCAGGGAGTGCCCAAATACAGGGCTGCTACCAAGAGAGGGGCAGGGTGCTGGGGCAGACTATACTCGGCCAGATGTGTGTCCAGCTGACCCACCTCCTGAGGGTCCTCTCACCGGCCTCTGTCTGCTCTTTTCCTTTCCTCCATGGTCAGGACCAGACAAGAGCTGGGGGCCAGAGTGTGAATGGGAGGAGAGCCTGGTGACCCCAGGACCTCCAAAGGCCCTGGCCTACATGGGCTCATACCGCCAGTGGGCCCATGGATGGTGGACTCTGACCAACCTGACCAGAGGGTGTGGGCGCCTTCACGGGGCTTGCCACAGGCGGGAGGGGGTCAAAATCCAGGTCCAGCAGACTGGCCTGCTCCGAGAAAGGCCCCGGGGCCTCAAACTTGGCAGCGGAGGCAAAGGAGGAAGGCAGTTAGTGACAGGCAGGGAGCACTTGACACAGGCACACACAGCAGGTGCTTACACTCACAAACACACGTGTACCTCACACACAAAGCAGTGCCACCCATGCCAGACACCTTAGCACATACTCCCACCCACACAGGCCTGGCACCTACCTCAGTCATCAGCAACAGGCCAACTACCAACCAAAGCAATGCCAAGCCCCAGAATCTTTTGTCTATCTCTGCCCTACAAACAGCAGAGGCCTCCAATTGACAGTGCCTCTTTCAGCTCCCTGCACCACAAACTCCCAAGACCTTGCCACAACCCCCATAAGCAGCACAGGCCACAGACTGAGCTGGACAAGACCACGCTTCGTCAACCTGACCCAGAGGGCTCCTGGGACAGGCACTGGTTTCCCTTCACTGCCCGATACAGACAGGTCACCCTGTGGTGACACCCACCCACCAGTCAGCTCCAGGGAGTGAGGACAGGGCTAAGCCAGCCATACTACCTAGGAGCCCAGTCGAAAAGGTGGGGTCCCCAATACCTGTGGCACCTGTGTTCAAACTAAAGATCTCATCCCAGCCACCCCGGAGATTCCCATTCAGTGTGTCTGGGTGCAGCTCAGAAACGTGCATGTGACAGGCCCAGCCCCAGGAGACTGGGACATGGTGGCCCCACTCACATTGGGAGAGCCAATCCCACAGCAAACTGGCTCCACAATCGTGAGAGAAAGGGTGTTTCCCAGAGCCACCTGCAGAGGAGAGCCAGCTCAGCACCAGCAGATACCCAGAGGACATGCTGTCCCCCTAGGAGGAGGGGCTTGCTCAACTGTGGCCTCCATCTGATACGTGGAGTCTCTCTTTGAGGACCAAAAGAAGGACTTTGCCCTGGTCCAAGAGAAGAGGGAGCTGCTCCGCCTCAGGTCCTCCTCCGCCACTGCCATCTAGTGCTGGGAGGGCAGTAACGCCCCGAAGTCCAGCCAGCACAGCTCCACTTGCTCTTGGTGGACACTCAGCAATGACAGGAAGTGCCCTCCATTCTTTATCCCTCCAAAGCCCTCCATCAAGGACCCGAGACCTCAGAGTAGGGAGGGGCTCCCCAGAGGGGCTTGCACAGCTGAGGTGAGGCCTGAAAGGAGAGACCCAAAACCCTCAGTCCTGAGAACACTTGGAGCCAGCTGTCCCACAGCTTAGGGGACAAGGCATCCACATGAGGCCAAGCTACAGAGCTCAGAGAGCCCAGGCCACATGGACTCACTTCCTGGACAGGATGCCCTGGTCCCTGAGCCCCTACCCCAGGCTCACCCCAGCCACTAACTTTCCTTTAGGTCAAGCCCTGTCCAAAGAACCTGGGGAAGAAGTCAGTGTTCTGTCAATCATAGGGGAACACATGCCTAGGACACCCTAGGTGCACACCCTGTAGGTGCCCTCCCACCGCTGGCTGGCAGCCTCTCTCCCCCAAGTAGCTCCACCACCTGACCTTTCTCAGAAGTCAACCAGGCCCAGACAGCTGCCCCGTTATGCTGCAAGGGGACACAGTCACCAGGCCAAAGGGTTGACCATGTCCTCCATAGCCCACCTTCCAGCAGCCTATCCTCCCCACCACACAGGATGGGGGCTGTCCTTGGCACAGGGATGAAGGCTACACACCACAGACCAGCAGAGCAGCCCTCTCAACATAGCTTCATGCAAGGGGACCAGCCCACCCCAGCCCCAGGCCCCAGCATCCACAGTGTACACTCCTCATTCCCATCAGGCAGACTCAGTTTCCTTCAGTGGGCAGGGAGGTGGGCAGCAAAGGCAGCATGCGGTGAGCGTGGAGACGGACAGCTTGGGGTGGCTGGTCTCGCTGCAGGGAAGGCCGACAGGCTCCTCACCTGCTCCATGGGCACAGCCCCCTCGCAGAGGGTGACTGAAAACTGAAGGTCGCGCAGGTAAGTGCTGGCACCACCCCCTGGTCAGGGCTCACCAGCACTCGGGTCACCCCGGTAGAGGCGTGCTCAGGCTGCGAGCATCCCAGCGCCATGCTGTCCTGGGGGTCTTGCCACCCATCTCCCCACTACTCCAGGAGCGCCCTGGGCCAGCTTCAGCCACCTTCTGCAGATGGGCTCCCACACCTCCCGGGCCCCCCAGCCAGAGCATCACCCCTCACTCACCTAGTGCCCTGTACTGACCCCAAGTCCTCTTGTAGGGGGCTGGAAGCCCACTTGCACCGAGGTCCTTTTAAGCAGAATCCACTGTCCTCACCTCCCAACCACCTCTCCCTCCACACTCACCCCTGCTCCTCCTCTCCAAGCCCCAGCTTGTGCTAAGGAGTCAGAGCCCAGAGTGCCCCACGCAGGGAAACCCCATGGCTGCACTCCAACACAGGCCCACCATGGCCTGGGATTAGCCGCTCCAACAAGAGACTAACCCCCACGTGGAAAGGGCCTCATCAGGGGGCCTAGAAACCAGGCTCGGAGCAGTCGGCACCCTGGTTTCTGCAAGCTGATCTAACAGTGTCAGCCCATTCCGGCGCCACTAATGACCTTCCTTGCTCGGCCCTCCTTTAGTTCCTCCGTGAATGGGCATTACATGTCTTCTTAGGGCATTTATGAGCACGCTGAGCTCCAGAAGTTCCTAAGCTCATCTCTCGCCCCTCCTGGTATACACACAAGCCACTGTCTCTGCTTGTCGCCACTTGGCAAATGGCACCTGCTCCAGTAAGCCTTCCCTGACTGGCCCAGGTCCTTCCCACCCCTTTTAGCCACACCATCAATGCAAACATGAGGCCACTGCTGAGCGGACCGTCTCCTCTACGACCATTAGCTTATGTCCCTGTATCTGGCCACAGTACATGATCAGAGATGGATGAGGTATGATGAATGAAGGGATGAACGGATGAGTGAGAGGAAGGCTCAGGGCCAATCTCTCTCCGGCCAGATTCCCGGCTCCTGGGGCAGAGGCCCAGGGCGTGGGACGGAGGAGAAGGCATGCCCCGAGAGAGCAAGAGGGTGGGGAGAGCCGGGCCGCGCGGCTGCGGCTGACCTGGGAGGGGGTGGTCACGCTGATCTCAGGGACAAACGTGTCATCAAACAGGCTGAGGATCTGTTCCTGCTTGACTTCCTTGGACGGGGTGTGTTTGGGAGGCGGAGGGACTGGTGGGCCTTTCCGGAGCTGTGGGTCGGCAGCGGGTGAGGGGCCGCACAGGGAGGCACAGCAGAGCGTGGGAGCAGGGGGAGACAGAGACAAAGCCACTGTTAGTCACACCCCAGGCCGTGGTCCCACCCAGGCAACTGAGGAAGATGAAGCAAGAGGCACTGCTCCCCAAGACACAGACAGCGGGACCACGGCCACCCCGGGGAGGAGACCAAGGCAGGAGGTCCAGAAATGCTGTGCAGAGAGAAGGATGAGAAAAGAGGGGAGAGAGGGGGAGGGAAGGAGGTGAAAGGACAGAAGAGTTAAGAAGGGGACGGCCAGAAGAGGGCTCGTCGCGTGATGAGAGGCTGAGGACAGCTGGCGGCGCCCAGCCTCCTCTCTGGCCCCCGCTCGCCTGCACACCGGGGCCTCTCCACGTCCCACTGGAGAAACAGTCACCTGTAGAGGCCGGCAGAGAGCCGGGGCCCGGGAGGCCTAGGGAAGATGGCCGCACACCTGCGTACTTGGGTGGACCTCAGGCAAGTCACACAACCCCCCAGACCCTGCATTTCCTTATTTGTCAAGCTGGGGTGATAAAAGCATCTGCCTCACGAGGTTGTGGTGAGGCTTCCATGAATGAACATATGGGAAGTGCTGGCACCGTGTCTGGCCCAGAGGAAGTGCTATTCAAGTGTGGGCTCTCGTCACTGTTCTTAACATCTTTATCCTGATCAGCTGACAAACAGGGTGACAGCCTAAACCCAACAGAGCTGCTGCCAGGCGCAGCCTAACAAAGCTGCTGCCAGGGGCAGCCTAACAAAGCTCAGCCAGGGCTGACATGAACACTGAGCCTCCTCCCCGCTCCCAGCTCCTGGGGATGCGGCAGAAACCCAGAGACACCTGGCGGGGCTGGGGCCGGGCTTCTCCAGGAGGGCGGGACTGGGACCTCTGGGCCCGGCCCCTTCCCTGACTCACACGCCCCTCACTGAGCCCTTGCTCTGGCTGTCCCTCTAAGGATCCTGCGTGAGAGAAAATGTGGGGACAGGGACGCAGCTGCCTCTGCAAACCTGGACGTTCCGGGGCTGTGGGCCCAAGTCTGTGTCAAAGGAAGATGGAGGAAGTGAAGCCGCCCAAAAGCCAGGGGAACAAGGAGGGGCGGGCGCTGCAGTGGGAAAGGGAGACGCCTCAGGAGGAAACAGATAGTTACAGATGCCCCTGAAAGGGGCCAGGGCCACTGAGGGGAGCCTGGGCCATGCAGGGTCCAACGGAGACCAATATCCAGGCTTAGTCCCCACTGGGCAAAGCCTCTGGCTCCAGGCTCGTCTAGGTCTGGGCAGCAGAGAGAGGGCGAGTGACAGCAAAGCAGAAAGGAAAGCAAGGAGGGGCGGGGGACAGGCTGAGATACAGTGCCTACCTGAGACGGGGACTTGGGGAGGGCGGCCCCAGGGGTGGCAGCATTGGCCAGCTCGGGTTCGTGGTTGACTCTGATCTCAGGGGTGGCGGCAGGGGAACCGTCTGGCGGAGGCGAAGGGCTCTTGTTCCCTTTTGCAGGGGTGTTGTCACTGTGGAGGCAAGACAGGAGGGAGCAGTGGAGGGAGGGCCAGGCATCTGAGGGAATGTGCACACACAGGTATGCGTGCGACTGGCATGTGCATGTATACACACCTAGGGGTCCATGTGTGACATGTGCATACGTGTATGAACATGTAGATCAGTGTGTGAAACTGAGGAGTACTGTGGGCCCACATACATTCACTGTGAAAATGGGATGCGTGTCCATGTGTGTAAGAACGGGTGGAAATGAGACCACACGTGCTGGTGGCAGGAGCCTGTCTTGGAGACAGTGACGGCACAGCGGGCATCTCTGAGCTGGAGGCCTCCAGTCCCCGGGGAAGGGGCAGGCCCCCAGGAGCCACCGCCAGAGGCAGCCCAGCTGCCCCACAGGCCAGAGCTCCCCAGCAGGAGAAAGCCAGACATCCCACACGCCACACGCAGCCCCGCCTCGGCCTGACGCCAAAGGCCTCTCGGCTGCCCCCACCTGTCCACCCGCTCCCAAAGCAACGCCAAGCTCAGCCCACCCCCACCCACACCACACCCCTCCATAGAGTGCCATCTCCATCTCCAAGCCGTCACTCCCACAGGCCCTTCCACAAAAACACAGGAGTAGCTGGGGATGAAGGGTGAGGTCTCTAAGCCAGGCTGTTCAGTACCAAAAACTGGGGCAAAAGTGTGTGTAAACCCCCACTGGGGTGCAAAGGGGGCGGGAAACAAATGCCCATATTTGTACTCGTATAAAGAAACTCTAGAACAGTGCTGACCAAGACTACCCACTAGCCATAGGTGGCTGTTTACCTTTATACTTAAATTAAATTAAAAATTCAGCTCCTCAGTTGGCCACATTCCGAGTGCTGGCTGGCCACATGGGGCCAGTGGCCAATGTGTTGCACAGGGTGGGTCTAGAAGGATACGAAAGAAAACAGTAACCACATCCCCTAGGGGAAGGGAGTCTAGATGGTGGGACAGATGTGTGAGAGGCATTACTGGTACCCTCTCATCTTTATTGAATTTCTGTTTCATGGGATGTATTTGCCTCCTTAAAGAATATATATAAACATAGTACACACGCACACATCATTTGAAAACCAGCACCGTGCTGCAGCAGACCTCCCCGAGACTGCCCAGGCCTCCTTTCTGGCCACCTTCTTCACCTGGGACTGCTCCTGGCCTGGCCGCTATTGGTGGGCACTTGGTAATGCAGAGAGGAAAATGCCAACTGCTCTCAGGCTGTCTGCTTACCATGCCCACCCGACAACCCCTCTGCCTGTCCCGCAACACACACACACGCGCACACACACACACACACACACGCACATGGCATGGCACAGCACAGCCCTGCCCTGCCTGCCGGGCAGCACCACACACAGGAAGGCGAGTTAGGGGTAGGGGTTAGTGGCACTGTCAGAGCAGGGCACTAGGCACATGCACGGGGGCCACCAGCCAGGACGCTGGCCTTGACGCCCCCACAATGCAGCACTCACTGCTGGTACCTGTTCTTCTTTCTGCGCAGCCGCGAGAACAGTTTAGTTTTCTTTCTGTGGGGACGGACGGGATGTAGAGGCCTTCATTTGGGGGAAATGCTGGATGTGGGGCTGGCCTGACCCCTTCCCTCATCAGCAATCCCCAACGAAGGGGTGGGGCAAGGGGACAAAGCCTCCCCTAACACCGAGGGGCCTTGTAGAGGGCCTGACCCTGCCCTTAGGCCCCCATTAGGGCCCTGCTGGCCTCAGCACGCTGCCAGGTGCCTTGGGGTGGTGCTGACACAACTAGAGAAGAGGGGACTGCCCCCAACAGGACCCGGCGAGCTGTAGGAGGCTCAGTCTGGGGGGACCGCTGGCATCACCCTGCCCGTGGTCCACAGGAGCTCCAGGGGCCCAGAGTACCAGGAAGGTGCAGGGTCAGCTGGCCGGCATGGGGCCCTGGAAGGAGGCGGCCAGGACGCCAAATGGGCCATTTTGGTGTAAAGGAGGCTCACAAGCCTCCACATCCCTCCCTCCCCCCGGGCCAGCCCCTTTCCCAGAATGTCCTTCTGAGCAGCCTGTACTACTCAGGACAGCCACCACTTGCTCCCTTCACACCCAGCTTGGATGCTCCCACCATTACCTCCGCCAGGCAGGGCAGCACAAGGGGAGGCCGGTCCTCCCTGCAGTGACCTCAGAAATCGTCTTTTGGCCTCTATTCTACCCCTGGTGCTCCTCAGCCCAGGGCACCCTGGGGGCCCCTCAGGGCCACACATATTTTATTTTCAGGGGAGAAGAGGGGCAATAATAGTCATTGAATACCTTCTTAGTCCTAGGTAATACCCCAATCACCCCAAGAAGCAGGTGCAATCACCCCATTTTATTTATAGGCAAGGAAAGCGTGGATCCAGAGGTCTCCACATTGTGCTGCAATGGCCAGAAAGGAAGGGAAATCCCAGACTCGCTATCGTTTCCCAGGAGCCGCAGCCAGAGGGCAAGACCTTTCCCCTCCTCCCTCCTGCTGTCCCCTAAGGAAACAGGGGTCTCCTGGGAGGTGAGGCAGGAGGGGGCCAGTGCTGGGCTGAGGGAGGAGCAAGGACACCCTTGGGTGTGTAGAATGCAGCCACCCTGAGACTTGGGCTTCCTGGGAGCAGGAGAGGGAAAGGGTGGCGCCATCCCCTGCTCTAAGAGGACCACTCACTCACTCACTCCAGGAGGCTCCATGCCTGTGAACCAGTTAGCTCCCACTGTCCCCCCAAGCTGGGCAGGTCCCCTGGCTGCTCCGGCCCCACAGATAAAGAAGTGAGGCGCAGGCTCAGGTGCTACGCAGACCATGAGGAGGACCCCCCCCCACACCCGACAGCAAACAGGGGAGGACGGTTGTCCTCACCTGCTCCCCTGAGCACAGGGAGGCCAAGGCAGGGAGGCCAAACCCACGAGCCCATGAGAACGAGCTTCGTCCCAGCCTTGTCCGAGTCAGCAAGCAGCAGGGGCCCACCTCAGGCCACACCTCCCACACCCATCCCCCGCTGAGAGCAGTAGGCATCACACACCTGGGCTGCGCCTTGATGGTGAATGTGTTGCTCCCGTGCTGCTTCTCCAGACTGATCAGCACGTCGTTGAGGTTCTGGTTGAGCTGCGGACAGGACAGCAAGCAGGTAGGAAGACCTCTGGGGCCACCAAACGGCCACTCTGCCCACAACATCCCTTCTTCTCCCCTGCTCTAACCCCGTCCCTGCACCTCTGCCCCCTGTCAGAAACTAGCTCTTCTTTTCCCATGAGTGGGGGCTGGGAACCAGTTTACCAAAGCCAGAAAAACCAAGGGGAGCGTGGAGGAAGTGAGCTGCACTGCTAATAGTTACTGTTTCTGGGAACCATCTTTTCTTTTCTTTCTATTTGTAGGGATTTCCTAAAATGCCACGTAGAACATGCACCGTTTTTAAACTTTTTGAAACTGTTTTTGCAAACTAACTGTTGATTCTAATTGTTAAGGTCATTTTGCCAAGATGCTTTCAGCCACACTACCACTCCAGAGATCTCACCAAAAGCACAGGCAAGAGAAGAGGTTCATCCCACGCTCATTACTGAGAATATATCCCTCTTAGTTTTGGCCACTAGGAAGCTCAGAGATGAATTTTCCTCCCACTTTACATAAATGTTTTCTTCCCCAAATCACCTCTCTCTCTGTCTGTTTTTAAATTTTTCCTAAGTTGTCTCAAATCTTTGAAGGGAAGAAGGAAAAGAAGGAAAGGGATGGCCTAAAAGGCAGGAAATCATCCTCAGGGCGGTGACTCGGGAGAGGCCCCAAACTTGCTTTTTGTCCTCCTGCCCTGGGCCTGGAATCCACTACCATCACTTCATTCTTCTGGGCCCAAGAGACAGAGTCAGACCCACCCACTTCACAGAGGGAAGAAGCTGCCAATACTAGGTTTCTCCAATTCAGCTTTGCAGTTTAACTGCCAGTTAAATCAAAATAAAAATGATAAAAAAATAGGAACTTGGGCTAATCAAACACCTTCTTACACCAGATTCTGGCAGATAAAGCATCTGTTTCAACGTCTTATGACATATGAAAGAACATTAAACATGGAGAAAAATTCTAGCAATTTACTTATTCTTTGCCTCCAAATTGGGAAGCCACCATCCTTTTCTGACACTGAGCTCCCTGAGCCCAAGTTGCCTGAGAACACATTTACAGTTTGAGGAGGGCTGACTCTGTCCAGGCAAGAGTGCAGGACTGGGAGCAGGAAGGAAGCTGCGGTGAACCTTCAAGCCCCACTGACAACCTCCCCAGCATACCTGGCAGCTCCCACTGGGCAGAACACTCTGGATGGGGAGCTCTTTGAGGGCAGGGGCTAGACAGGGGGAACACTGTGGTCATCAGTGTGTGATAAATCTCAGCAGGCAACAGGGAGCTCAACCTGCCTGGCCCTGGGCAGGGTGGAGCGTGGCCTCGAGGCCCACAGGAATCTGCATGGCCTACCTTACTCATCTCCTTGTGGAAGTTCTCCTCCAGACCTGCAATGCTCTGAAATGTATTGACGTAGAAACCTACACGACTGCAGAAGGGAGGAAAGAAGGGCAAAATGAATACGCAGGTCAGTGGGGAACCCAGGAGGGCCACACACATGCTGACACACGTTCGCCCTCAGCAGAGACACAGCCCTGCGAGGGCACAGGGCCCCATGGAAGGAAAAGACACACGTGGCAGCTGTGCAGCCCGAGAAGAAGCCCGAGGCCCGGCCCTCACCTGTTCCACAGGGATGGCAACTCCTCCTGCAGATCCACATTCATCTCCTCAAACACCTTCTGGGCTTTGATGAGCTCCTCCTCGGCCTGAGGGGAGGACCAGTCACTCCATCTGCTGAACTTCCGTCCCAGCCAGCCTAAGCCAGGCCAGGCCCACCCTCCACGACCTGCACCCCAACCTCCCACCAACATGGAAGTGGAACTGGATGTGAATAATGGGTAGACTCCCCTGAAGTCCCTTGGACCCTGCAGCCAGGCCCCCAGGGGCTTCTCTAGGAAAGGGAGGTCTGAGCAGCTATGGCAAAAGGAGAACCCCTCTCTCTGGCCCAGGTGGGCCAGGAGGGAGGCGAGGGATGCGTAGGGCACGATAAGGTGCAGGTGCGGGGCCACAGAAAGGGAGAAGAGGCAGACCCAGACCCAACCAAGTGGGAACCTGTCCCCTTACACACGAACCCCTCTCAGGCTAGGTGTCAGCCTACTACCCAGCTCTCTGGACCTTGCTGTCCCCTCCTGAATATTCCTCTCCCCCTTTCCAAGGCTACATCCTATTCAGGCTCAGCCAGCAGCCTGCATTTCACCTCCCCAGCAGAGTCTTTCCTACCCCACTCTCCTCTGTCACCTGTTCAAACAGACAGGGCCGGGCCAGGAAAGGAGAGGGCAGGGCAGCTGGGCAGGGTGCCTGAGCCCACTCCAAGGCCCCTCTCCCCAGGGCAAGCTCTGCACCCTCCAGCCACTTACATCCACCAGGCGGTGGCGCCAAGACCCCATCGCAGGGCCAGAAACTTAGGGAAATGCAGTGGCAGGTGCCCTCCCTCTGAAGGCAGAGGGCCAGAAAGAGTAGGGGTGAGTCATAAGACCCCAGGCCAAGAAGGGGCTCTGCTAGCTCATTCTGGAGGGCACTGCTGGAAACAGTGACTCAAGGGCGTGACTTGGATTCAGGGGCTGAGTCACCGCCCAGGAACGTGGCAGGCCCTACCCAGGAGAAAAATTCCCCGCCAGCAGCCTCAAATTCTCAGGCCTCTGGCAAAGGCGGCCAATGGGGCTAAATGCCAAATTGCCACAAAGCACAAGATTTGCCCAAGCCCACCAGGTGCCCCATCCAGCTTCAAGCACCAAGATCAACCCTATCTCCATGGTGCCCAGAACTGAGCCTGGTGACATGGGAGTGGGGCTGGAAGGAAGAGGGGCCACTGTCACTCCTGGTTGTTGGAACCTGAGTGAACATGAGCATCTCCTTGCCTAACTTTAAAAAATCTAATTTAAAAATTAAAGATACAATAGGGGAAAAAAGAAATGTCTCTCTAAACATGCATGCCTCGGCTGCTCCTGTGTGGATCAGGTCTGGTGTGCCCTCCAGGCCGTGGGCCGGGCCAGGTCTGCCTCACTCCTCTGGGCACTTCTGTGCCTCCCTGGGAGCTACTGACGACGGTCTGTAAAACCCACAACATGAGTGACGCCCACACATCTAGCCGTGAGTGCCTCGCACTGTGATGCACGCCTCCCACCCCACTACCAAGAGTCGGACTCAAGTCGCATGTCCCCCAGGAGCCCGCCTTGCCGCCCCAGCTCCTGCACCTGCACAGACCACCTCTCCACAGGGTTCAGCCTCCACCCCACAACGCTGGTCCTAACTGCCCAAGAAACAATTGTGACCATGACAGCGATGACAGCATAGTATCTCGTCATTGTATGCCAAGCCCTGTCCCTAAGTCCCAGGAATACTGCAAATAGGGTGGATCCGTTTTAGAGTTCCTGGAGGTTGGGCCTGAGTCTTTTATTCCCTCTGGGTCACATTCTCATATCCTGGACCTTTCAGAAGCACTGGGGTGGCAGCGAGTGTGGAAGAGCTGCCCACGTGGCGGAGGCCTTTAGCTCTGGGGTCCTGCTACACGCTGATGGACAGGCATGCACAGCACATCCAAAATCAGCCCACTCACCACACAGCAGGGCACCAGGATCCCACAGGCAGGTTTTGGGAGACTACAGCAAGTGTGAAGAACAGCTCAAAACTAGCCAGGGGGTCGGGGGGACACCTGGAGCTGGTCAGCTCGAGAGAGTACAACCCACAAGGTTGTACTGTCTCCCCAAAGTCGTCAGCCAACAGGGCAGCCCCAAGCCCGGAGTGCCCAGTTCACAGCCAGCCAGCTGCCCATGGGAACCCCGAAGGCTCTCCCACTTCCAGCCAGGCATGAGGCAAGGTGGGGGCAGAAGGAGGATATGCTCAAGTAAAAATTGGATCCAAATGGGAAAGCCAATTTGGCCAAAAGTTGAAACATCTGCAGTCCAACATCCAAAGATGAGATCACGTGCTTTAGCCTGCCCTGCTGCTCCCCAAGGATCCCCAACCACACCCATCCCAGGAGCCCCAAAGTCTCCTAACAAAAAGAGTCACCTGGCCTCCTGCACATACATTTTTTGACCAAACCCATTTCAGAAAAATTATGCAGAAACCCTGGCTCTGGGTCAGTGGCCTGCTTCTCAGTCCATCAGGAAAGGTCCACTGCAGCCCCTCGCTTCTCCTGTACCTCCTGTGGCAGAGGCGAGCAGGCCTATCAAAGACCCCCACCCCCCCCAGGCCACCACCCCCAGACCCTGGAGACCTGGGGTCACCTTGTTTTCAAAATCTAGCCCACAGTTTTGGCCTAAAAGAAACCAGGCAGTAAGAAAGTGGCCCTGAGCCCATGAGAAGCCTGGAGCACTCCACATCACAGGCACTCGTACATGTGGGGTGGAGGTGATGAAATCAGAAGGTGGCCCAGAAACAGTGGCGCAGCTGCCCAGGGAGAAACTCAACCTCCTGGTTTGGGCTGGTCATCTGCCCCCAGCCCAGAACCATGAAGGGGTGCTGGAGTCACGCTAGTTTCATTGGTAAGCAAACCATAGGCCACCTCTCCCAGCACACTGCATCCAGCGGCCCCTGGCCACACTGGGTCCATTCTGATAGCAGAGGCCTGAAAAGAGTGGAGTTCTGCCAGGGTAGTTGTATCCTTCAGGAGTTTTGCACCAAGAAGCCCTCTGGGACCACTGTGGTGCAGACTGCCCCCATGAAACTCCCAAACAGCCAACCCCAGGTCTCAGCATCCCAACCAGACTGAAGAGCCCTCCCAGACTCTCCCCAGGGGCATCGTGGGGCCCACAGGTCCCAAGAGCCCCATGAGTCTGGCCAGCTGTGGCCGGACCACCCACACAGAGCCCCGGGCCAGGGAGCTAGGAATATGGCTCAGGCCTTGAGTCAAGTGAGCCCCAACGCAGCCACTAAGCGGCTCTGGGACCCTAGGCAGATTTGACCCTCTGCAGGCTTGTCTCCTCAGTAAATTCAGGATCACCTCACAGTTCTTATGAGGCTTAAAGGAGAACACATGTCAGTTCTAGGGATCCTTAGTGACATCACGTCCCTCCTGGCAGGAGCCCTCCCAGAAGACAGATGGCTCCAAGGTTTTCCTGGGCTCCCGGAGGCTAGGATTTCAGGGCCGCTCAGAACTACCAGAGACACGGGCGCTGGGCAACAGCCCCAGGCCCACCCCAGTCACCCAAAGCCCCCAGCCTCTATTGCTTCCTATGTTTGACCTCACGTCAAACTGAAGCAGGCGCTCTCCCGGCAGAGGCATTTGAAACCAGCCCTGCCTTCCCACCCAGGGCTGCTGGGTTGGCAGGCACCCAGTGCCAAGGACAGGACAACAGACCAGAAGGCGGCAGCACGTGCAGGGTTAGAAGCCAGTGTCACCTGATTTCGGAGCAGGTTAGTTTGAGCTACGAGATGAGCCTGCAGTTTGCCTTGACACCACTGGGGGGCGGCTTTCTCAAGCAGCGAGACAGGCTGGTGGGGAGGGGAGGTCAAGGCGAAGGAGAGTGGAGAAACAGGAGGGAGATGGGGAGAGAAACAGAGACACAGATATTAAACACCAAGTCCAAACGTCCCGAACGTGGTGACAGACAAGCTGGCAGCCCCTCCAGGGCACCAGCCCCCCACAGCAGGCTGAGAGTATTAAGGGAAGCCCCAAGCGAGCGGGGCACAGAATGGGGTGAACTCCAACTGCAAAGCAAAATGTGAGAATTGTTAGCAGGGGCAGAGAGGCTCAGCAAGCAGAATCCTGCCCGGAAGTGGGGTGGATGTGGTGGGGGGGCCATATGGAGAGTGTGACAAGCCCAAGTCCTGTGCGCCCCCACCCCCACCCCACCCGGCTTGATCCAGCGGAGACAGGGGCACATTGGATTCTGTGATGGAATTCCACTCAGCACACCAGGCCAGGTGGGTCCTTGCCAGCGAAACCCAAGCCTGTTCTTATTCTGGAAGGTGGCCTCAGGGTAAGAGGAGGGGCCAGGGGCCAGGGCGGGCATCATGGAACGGGCCAGAGGTGGGCCCTCACCCAGCGCACCACAAGGACCTTTCACTCATTCACCCCGGGCCCAGGCACGTCCCCACCCTAGCTCTGGGACCTGGTAGTTGTCACAGGTAGGAACCTATCCCTAAGAGGGGTCAAGGGTTCCCACCCCCAGGGGAGCATGAGAGCCAGGGTGCAAGGGGCAGGTGAGTTCCAGGGTCCTGGGCATCCCCTCCCTGCTTTATCTTCCGGAACACTGCCCCGGCTGCTCTCCAGACCTTACCTTGGCAATTTTGGCTTCATCCTTCTTTTTGGCTGTTTGGAGCGACTCATAATGGTGCCGGGCACTGTCATAGTCCACCAGCTTCCGCCCTCGCTTGGCGATGCGTGACTGGGGAAGAGGGGAAAGCTGAACAAGGCCTGGCACACGGCCTGCTGCAATGCTGACCCAGCTGGGCCCAGAGAAACGGGGTCGGGGGTGCGGGGCCTGGATTTGAAGCCGCAGGGCCCACACAGCAGGCCCCGGCTCAACAAGTGTGTCTAACACATGCTTGAGACACTGTTGCTCAAAGGTTTCTGGTGGCACCCTCTCTCCTTCAGAGCATTCCGTGCCTTCTGTGGTCCTTTCTTATACAAAGGTCAAACCATTTCCTTGCAATATTAACCTATTGGTCAGTACCCACCAGCCAGTACTGTGTCGGACAAGCCTCTTCCCTGGCTGGGCCCTCAGATCACTGAAGATTCCTCGTTGGCCCCGGGCTTCTCTTCTCCAGGGCCATCACATCAGCCTCCCTTCCTCACTCCCCACAAGACACTTTTGGGAGCCTGAGACATCTGCGTTAGGTGGCCAAGGGGGCTGGCATAAAGCGTAACCCTCAATGAATCAGGGATAGCCATGATGGTCACTACCTGGGCTCCAGACACCTCTTCCTTCAGGGCTGAAGCACGCAGGTCCCACTGGCCTCAGTGGAGACCTTGGCACACTGACAACTTACAGCACATACCCAGGCCCAGCAGAGGCAGATGGCTTTTTGAACATGTGCAATCACACAAAGACATCCAGATAAAGGGGTGACTACAACGCTACACATTCCCTTCCAAGCACACACAGCCTATAACAGGGTACTTTTAGGCATACGCCCAGGCCCGACATTCCCTTAATACATCTTGTGCAATCCTACAGACTCCACAGTGGCGTGGCCACACACACGTACATGCACCATAGGGTCATTTCCCATAGCCTAGAGACCTAGAGGTACAGTGCCCAAAACTCCCAGCTGAGAAAGGTCTGGGGCTGGCAGGCCAGCTCAGCGAGAGCAGCCCTGGAGGGATGATGTGCCCAGCGAAGGGGACAGAGTCACCTCGGTGCCTGAGCCAGCTCTGGACTGCCCCCATCCCAGCCCTTCTCTTCCTCTCCAGCTCCTCTGAATAGGCTGCCCGCTTGACAGACAGCCTCTCACCTTGATGTCTGGAAACTGGCCCAGGTACGTGTCCATGGTCAGCAGTGCCTGGTCCACCAGCTTCTGGTGGTAATCCATCCAGAGTAGGTCATTGTTCTGAAGGAGGCAAGAGCACGTGAGTGCACCCCCAGGGCCTCCAGCTACCCCAGCCCTAGCTCTCATCTCCCAGGAGCCTGGGGGCCAGCTCTTGCCCCGTCATTCACGTCTTGGTGGCTTCTCAGAATCTCAGTTTCTTCATCTGTACAATAGGCTGGGGGCTGAGGCCAGCAGGGCCCTGTGGGACGGTGGAGCCTTCTGCCCCAGCTCACCTCAGCAATCTTGTTTGCTTCGTCCCTGCCAGGCCAGTCAGGTTCATACACCTCCTGCAGACACTCATTCAGCTTCTTAGAAGCCTCGTGCATGGCTGTGGGGTAGAAGGGCCATGCTGCAAGTAGGGCCATGGGCGCCCGGGACAGGGGGTTCCCAAAAGCCCAGGAAGTACATGGGCCTCCACGACAGCCCTTGCCCCGCCCCCACAGACCCTGCCGCCCTTCCCAGCTCTTTGCCCATCAGCTCCACATGGGGAAGGCCTCTCCCAGGGAAGGCCCTTCCCTGTGTCCCATGAAGTCCGGCCCACCCAGGCCAGGTCTGCCCTTTACCTTTGACGGAGGCCAGGTAGGTCCGAAGATCCTTCTGCAGCCGGGTGCCCTCATTCTGCAGAGAAAGACGAAGACAAGGTGAGGGCCTGGGGGCACACCGCATACCTCACCCTTTCCTTCCTGACAGCCACCATGGGTCAGCTGTCCTCATCAGGGCACTGGGAGGACTAGAGCCCTGTGCCCAAAGGTACATTGATATCGAATTTGTCAGCACCTGTCTCTTTCAGGCACTATTCTCAGCCCTGTAAGGAAGACAGGAAGACAGAGACCCCTCTGCCCTGCACAAGACACTGAGGGCACGGCTAAATGACACACACATAGCACAGCGCACATGTATGGTGGGACCGGCATGCGGCAGGTCTGCCCTCAGACAACCCAGGACCGGGTCACCAAGGAGCACAGAAACGTGGGCCAGGGTGGGGGTGGGGTGGGGGGTTCAATCACCACCCAGCACCTTGCTCCAAAAGCTTAGGTGGTGCCCGAGACCAGCGGGCTTCCACTGCACCATGCCAGGGACGAGAGGCGGCCCTATGGGAGAAAAGGGGCCTCTGGAAGAGGAGGGCCTAGCCAGGGTGCAGAGAAGCGTGGGGGTCATGTCCAGGTCTCTCGGGACACTGGCCCAGCTGAGAGGGAGGGTGAAGGATGGAAGAGGACAAGGTTGATGACGGGGCGTGGGCCGGGTAGTAAAGCCCCCATCATGCTGGGCCTGACTCGCTGGGGACCGTGCTTCCACACCCAGCTTCTCTTCCTGCCAAGTCTCCAGCATCTCGCTCCCCTCCCCATCATCCCCCAGTGCCTGTCTACACTGCACCCCAAGGAAGGCGTTTCCCACAGGGTGCGGTGCTGCGCTTGCCCAAGCATCAGGCTGTACCAGGGCCCCTTGTGCCTCCTAAACAAGGTTACACTATGAGCAGGCATGCAGGGCACAGATGTGCAAGAGGCCACCCAGAGTCTGCCACCCGTGTGCCAACCGCAGCTAGGCCCCCAAGCCAGCTTCGCAGTCAGTACCCAGAGTCAGACACGGCCCTCCCGCACGAGCTGCCTCCTGCAGGGTAGCACGCAGGCTGGCCAGCACAGAATGTGTGTGCTCACTTCCAAGCTGGCTCCCTTGATCCCCCACATGGGATGTCTGAGAAACAACTCTCTGAGCTTCCTGGGGCTGTGATACTCCTGCAGAGCAGCTAGAGGGAGGATGAAGTTCTGGACCCACTGTCCCCTTGGCCTACTCTCCGGGTTCCAGACTCGGGAGTTTGAAAGGGCAACACAGCCCTCCCAGGACCAATACCTAGGGCAGTTCTGTGCAGGGAGGCAGCTTGGTCAGCACACCACATTCCCGCTATACCGCCCTCAAAAGGGTACTCCCCACCACCCCTGACATCAGCTCCCACTGGTGGCCTAAAGACCGAGCCCCCATCTTCCCAGTGGGCCTAAGGGGCAGGGGCTGTGTCCTCCTGCATGGCTCCTCTCTAGCTCCAGCTGACTCCTGCCTCTCTGTAGTCAATGCCAGAGGATCTTCACTCAATAGCCATGGAGCAGAGCTCTGGGTGGACCCTGGGGACAAGAAGGAATGAGACCTAACGTACCTCAGTGACAGATAAACAAACAGCAACGATGAGTCCTGGGGTTACAGGCTATAGGTGGCCCCCAGGAGGAAAAGCTTGGCCTACCCTGGATGGCTTCAGGAGGGCCTGAGCTGGGTTTGCAGTACTCAGGGAAAAAGAGCATACAAAAGGGCCCCCCAGGACTTCTCAGTGCAGGGACAGGAAGGCAGGGGTACTGTGACTAGTGCTGAGTAGGCCCACTATGGGCTGTGAGAGGAGGTGACAACAAGGTGACCCATACCTTTCCTAGGGCTCCTGTCCATAAGTAGGGGTAGTAATTTGCTTCCTTGAAGGCCATATTCCCGGCCATTCCAGCCCAATTAGTGCTGGGCCCACTGTGCTTGGTGTTCACAGGAAGATAATCAGTTTCCAGGATTCTCATACTCAATCTTCACCCCACCATTCCCAGGGTCCCAACAGCCCTGCAGGTGGCAAGGCCAAGTCCACTTCAGCTCCCTGAACTCACTCCCTCCAGAACAGTGACCCTCACATCTTTCTAAATCCTAACACCCACCCCCCAGAGCTCAGTTACCCCCGTACACCAATCACATCCAGAATGCCTGGCTACCTTAACTCTCAAGGGAGGGTTACCCCAAGCCTTGAATGACACCTCAAACTCACCCCTTCCTGCTACCACCTTTGGCCCCTGAATAGCTGGCTATCTCACCAAACCTGAGGGTAGACAGAGCCCCAGCTCAAGTAACCGCTCCATGTCCACAACCAGGGAGGCACCAGACAGCCACCAACACAGCACTGGCCTCACTGCCTGGCCCCTCTGCCCAAGCATCAGTGAGTGAATCCTTGCCCAGAGGGGATGACTCTGGGGGACGAATGGGGAGTGCAACACTGTGTCACACCTCTGGGGCCAGACCACAGGGAACCTCAGCTCCTAGACCTGTTCTTTCCTCACCTTCTACCGAACAGCTCAGCCTCCTCTGGGGTGGCCCTATCACTGCCACTCCAGGCTGCAGCTCAGCAGCTGCCCTAACATTTCGCTCCAGCCCAGCCAGTTGCCCTCAGGACTGGGGCTCAACTCCAGGGTGGGAACCCTAGAGTGAACAGCCCTTTATTTAAATCCTCAAACCCCCACACCAGCTGTATGGCCTTGGAAGAATTGCTTAATCTCTCTGAGCCTCAAATGCTTCATCTGGAAAATAAAGAGAATATTAGCATCCACCTCAAGGATGCAAGGCTCATATCTGTAAAACACACAGCAGTACTTGGTCCACAGTAGGTACTCTAGTAACCACGATCCCTACAAGACTTCCAGAGCAGCATCCCACAACTGAGGAAACCAGATGAATAGGGGACGTGCCCCATGGGCTTACAGGAGAAGCAATCAGAAGCAAAGATTTCTAGTTTCTCGTTTAAGCCTCCATTTTGCAGATGAGAAAACTGAGGCCCAAGAAGCAGAGGCTCACCCAGGGCCACAGAGCCAGTAGATGTCTCTGTCATGGTGTCTACGGGGGCCTTGAAACACCTCCCACTACTGGTCTGGGGGACAAGACAAGAGCCATGGGGGTGCCTATCACTGCTGTGGGAGGTGCTGGGATAAGCTCCTGAAGGTGGAGGTGGCCCTGGAGGCTTTCCCAGCATGCCCCCTGGCTCTCGCTCTCTCTTCATGCTTCTGGGACCTTTCCCTGCATTCTCCCTGGCTCTCTCTCTGCATGCTCCCTGACCCTCTCCCAGCATGCTCCTCGGCCCTCTGCCTGCATGCTCCCTGACCCTCTCCCAGCATGCTCCTCGGCCCTCTCCCTGCATGCTCCTCGGCCCTCTCCCTACTTGCTTGCTTGCTATCTCCCAGCATGCTCCCTGACCCTCTCCCAGCATGCTCCTCGGCCCTCTCCCTGCATGCTCCCGGACCCTCTCCCAGCATGCTCCTCGACCCTCTCCCTGCATGCTTGCTTGCCATCTCCCTGCATGCTCCTCGGCCCTCTCCCTGCTTGCTTGCTTGCTATCTCCCTGCATGCTCCCTGACCCTCTCCCAGTATGTTCCCTAGCCCTCTCCCTGCATGCTCCTCGGCCCTCTCAACATACTCCCCAGCCCCTGGCGGTGGGCTGTCAGAGTTCTCAAAAAAGGCTCCTTTCTCTGGGTTCCATTCTAGCACAGAGATATTGGTGGACGCCTTCAGTGCTTTCCGAGACCACAGACATGGACAAGGAGTAGAAAGAGGCCTGGTCCCTCCCAACCCCCAGTCTGAGCCCATCTGCCCCTTTCCTAGCAGAGCTTAGACCCTGCCCTCACTTCCCATGCCCAATCCCATTCCCGTGGCCTCTTCTGGCCCCCATCTCCATCTGTCACTCACTGGGGCAGGACTGTCATGGCCCAGCTCTCCCTCCCTTCCTAGTACCTTGGCTCTCCCTAGGGAGGGCAGAATCACCAGGGTCCTCTTATTCCCCCTTTCTATTTTCCTCAGACACAGCCATAGCAACTGGCTTATTCTAGACTTAGCAGATCTGTATGGGGGAATGGTTTCAGGGACAACCCAGTCAGGGTATTCAGAGCCCTTCAATCAGGAAGTCCTCTTTTGTATCTAACCACTGCCCCCAGGCTGCCAACGTGATTAAGCCCTTTGTCAGTGGCCACTGGCCTATAAAGGGACTTGGCAAGAATGCCCTTAAAGTTCCTTGCAATCCTTGGAACCAGATAAGTATGGGTCTGAATCTACTTCAAATACTTGGATGGTATTAGACCAGTTACCTAACTTCTCTGAGCCTAAATTGCCTGGCTGCCTCATAGAGTTGTTGGGAAGTATCCACAAGCCATCTGCAAATGGCTTGGCCTAAAGCCTGCTACACGGTCAGGCATAGCTGGTGCTCAGCAGGTGCCCAAATCAAACCCAGTCTGCTCTGTTCCCACATCAAACTTGGCAGATGTCTCTCTCCTTACAAGAAGCTCCCATAGCTCCCACTTGCTTTGACATTCAAGGTTTTCCAGAGTCTGACCACAATTTATTGTCTGCGCCCACTCAACCCCCACCCTCCCCCCACACCAACCCTTCTGTCTCACCAAGGACCCTGCCTCCTCCTGTTTCCCACGCGCCACGCCCAGTGCCAGTGCTCCTTCCTTTAGGAAGTCTTCTGTGACCTTTCCAGCTCACACTGATCCCCTTCTCCAAGCTCCCCTACTCCACAAATTCAGCTTTTGACATTTTCTACCTGGCAGCCACAGTTCTATTTTCACAAGCTCCCTAAGGCCAAAGGCCACTCACACTCACCAGCTGCTTATTAAAATTCTGGACACACTGTTCAAACTGCTCATCCTTTGTCTCGTCTGCCTTCCCCAGTTTCTGGAGGACCTGCAGAGGCAGAGGGAGAAGAAAAAAGTGTTACATTGAGAAAGACACTGGCCAAACCGAGTACCCAGTCACCAAAACCACAGACCCCTCCCCAATCCCAGGCAGAGTCTCGGAGGCCCATGGCCAGTATCACCAGTCCAGGGTGCTGGGACCCTCAGGTCTCACAGCTGCTATGATCCCCAAGGGCAGGACTCAGTTCATCGAGTCTTGAGGCCTCCCCACCTTTTCTCCTCCCCATATAACTCCTGGGCCCCAAGGCTCATGAATTCCAGAGGGAGGAGCAGAGCACCCCGAGCTGGGAGGTAACCACCCAGGATGAGGAGGGCACTGAGGGGTGGCCAAGGGTCAGGCTCTTTGTGTCACTAGGAGTCAGCTCCCATTCCGACTAGATGTTCAGATGTGACCCACTCTAGCCACCCTGCTCCCTTCTCCACAGCCCCGCAGGCCATACTGGGCCCAGCCCTGGTGCGCACAGGAGCACACGCGCAGGACACATACGGGCTCACAGATATACCCACATGATCTACTCCCAACAGAAACCTCAGAAGCTGACTCTTCCCTCTGGTGAGTCAGAGCTGTCCCTTTTGAGCTGTTGGGGAGAGGAGGTGGAGGGCAGAGGTGGAGTGATGGATGGATAAAGAAAGAGAGGG